GAGAGATATTGATGGCTCTATTTTTTTGCAGCAATCCGGATGAGGGTCCACAGAACAATTCCCCCCCAATCAGCAGACAATATTTCTTATATTTCATAAATGTTTTTAAAATATTTTTTTATTTAATATTTAAAATGACAAAACCGTCATGCGCGTAGATAAAGCTTCATTATCTTCAGATAATAATGTAAAAAAGCCAACTTATGTCACACATGACATAAATGTCTCTCATGAAAGATCAAAGAACAAGAATTACATGGATTGTAAAGGAGTAAAACCTTTACAAGAGACATCTGGTTCTATCGAAATGTGCAAGTCTGCAGCAATTACTTCAGACAAAAAATTAAGTTCTCAAAAATGTTCTTCGAGTAATAAAGGCTCCACAATTGATCCGAAATGTACTTCTGCCAAAGAAGGGGAAGAATCAGCCACATTGGAATCTCTTGCAAATGCAATTAGCAAGCTGGAAGGTATGTTGAAAATATTGTCGTTCATGTATTATAATGAAAAGTTTTACTATTGTATGTTGCTTAAAATAAAAATATTCGGCACATTTTTTACAAGTGTGCTGAACTGATTTTAAATGTTATTTTCTGGATGTATCTTTTTATTTGAAAATGGCACGTAACATTTCTTAGCATGCGTTTTCTCGCTTCTGACGGACAGCTTTAGCGACTACCCAGAAACCTTAAGAACATATTTTATACACTTATATTTTTTTATAAGCTTTGGTATCGGGTTATGAACAATTGATCAATTCGTGAAGATTTCATCAAGTGGATTTTACACAGTTCATTTTTTACAAAAAATCTACAAGTTGTTCTTTTATTATTTGCAGAAGAAATGTTAGCATGTAAAACTATTTTACGCAAGATAGATAGAAATCTGGAAAGCTTCTTTGAAACGGAGACGACGAACAAATGTACAAATAAGAATATTTCTACCGGTGCTGTATATGTTTTGGATGAATTTCCTTTAACAAATTTGTCAGATTTAGAAAAAATCGAGCACAAATTAAAGAAAGATAAAACTTTTCATTCAAAAGTGGTAAGATATTTGATTTTTTTTCTCAAATTGTAAATCAACTTTATTTATATGCAATTTAATTATAGGTCAATGCTCTACATTCCGGAGTAATGGGACAATCGCTTCAAAAAAAAGTAAATTCTATTCTACGGATGGTTCTGGACGATAAGCTAGCTAGTTCTTTTAACTGGAAAGGTCAAAGAGGAACCAAATTGAAATTGGCAAAACGTCGAATAACCAAAATAATGATCGGTAAGATTATATTATTTCACAATTAAATCTTTCGCTTTATTAGATTGTAGTACCTTTTATGTCAACTTTAGTTTT